ATATTTGTTATACAAAAAGTATAATAAATTTACTCTAAATAGGCACAATGCGTACGGCAGCTCTTCGTCGGTATGCTTTCGTTAGGAAAAAATAGTTGGTATGCCATTATTTCACATTTCGTCGGTATGCATTATGTGTTTCGTTCAAAAAAAATCTTAGTATCCTATTATTTCAGCATTTATTTTGTATAGACACATGGCGAAAATAAAATTGCTTGTGAACGGATGATTGGAGGAGAGCAGAATCAAATATATGATAAAACAGATCTGAGAGCAAAGAAACAGTAAAAACAAAACAAAAACAGAAACAAAAATAGAAACGAAATATTCCAGTACTGCTGAATAAATATAACAGAAGAAAAATAAAAATGAAACAAAACAAAACAGAAACAAAACACAAACATAACAGAAAAGAGCTTCATAGAGCAATAGCCGTCTCTACGAAAACCTTCACACTTGGACGGATCGATTGCAGCTTGAGAAATGGTTTTGATGCAGATGCTGTAGAACATGTTCTTCCTTACGAATCATACAGAGAGTTGTCCTGAATATCTTGCGAAGAAAATCGAATCAGATAATTCAGGAAACACTGACTGAACAAAAATGGAGAAAGTGAAAATTAAAAAAGAAATGAAAACATAAAACAGTTCTTATTAATATGGTGTTTTCTGTGAAAATTCATATCAAAGGGCTACAAGGAAAATGAAGAGTGACCTAAATCAAGAATCAAGAATGTATATAAAGGTTCTACAAGTGATTAAGTTACCATTTCCTTCAACCCATCAAGGAAATCACACTGTTTGAAGAATAATCGATGGTTTTTCCTTCTGCTTTCCACCTTATGTTGCCTTCTCCGATCCAGACCGTTTTTGCCTGGCCTATGCATGGAGTAAAGTCTCATGCCAAAAAGTCGTGAGCTTCTCTCTAATAATCATATCAGATCCTTCAGGTCTGTTTCTAGCAAGATCTACCTTTCTTTTCAGTTCATATGACAGAAATTACACGAGAATAATATTGACAGTAAATTTCTCACATTTTCATCAAACTGAAACGAAAGCCTTCAGAGAGTATAGTTTTCAATCTGTAAATAGAAATATCATGAGGTGTTGACTGGCTGTTTTCCGAGAAAACCGAGTCATTAGTCTATTTTCCATATTCCTTTTTTATTTCCCTTCAATTAGAGAATCAAAGCTGGTGCAATTTGTAAACATATATTATAAAAGTATAATTAGCATTGACAGTCTCATTGTCCTTGTTCATATTAGGCAGATTACTTGTTTCGCATTCGATTCCGAAATTGTTTATGTGACAAGCAAAAATACGCTGATTTTCCAAAGAGGTCGGTCCCCAAAAAGAACCGGAAGAATTGTATAATAAATGTAACTACAATATTCATTATGACGTATCTTATTTGAATTATGATAACTAATAAAATTCTCTAATCGATTTCGAAATGATTGAAAAAGAAGCAACCGTTAATTGAAAAGTGTGTGAAATAATTTCATTTCTTCGAATGGGTGGCTAGTTGAATACCCATCAGATGCAGAAAAATGAAGATTTTAATAGAACAAGATTGTTCGAATTATAGTACTCGCTAAATGCAGAAATTCTGTTTTAACTACATTGCATAGTTATCACATGCGAGTGGTGAAAATGAAAGCTTTTGCGCGCTCTTACGTGTGGTGACCTTCCATAGATCATATAGATATCTAAGCGATAAATCGTAAATCTTGGGCAGTTCACAATAATAATCCACCTGAATCCAACTTGATTGTTTGGAAATGGTCCCATCCGCCCTGTGACCATTTCCAAACAATCCTTATGCTGATTTTTTTGGCCCTGTTTTAAACAAAAATCCTTTAGTAATTGGAGACGACAAATGGATTGAGTGTGTGAAAATGAACAATATGAGAGCGATATTAACGAAGCGTGTATTTCGTAACATATTCAGTAGATTTGGACTTCCGTTTGTGTTATGTACGGACAATGCAAAAACATTCGTTTCTGGCGAATTCCAAAATTTTTTGCGTTTCGGTGGAATAAAACACACAAAGAGAGCTTCGTATCATTCATCCACAAACGGACTCGCCGTGAGCACTGTTAAAATTATGGAAAACGCGATATATAAATGACGTTTCGATAATAAAACTTGACTTGATTATGAATCGTTTTTCATTTCAGTATAGGGATACCCCAGATTCCTCAACAGGGGAGATGCCTTCCAAAATTTTATTGGGTGTACTCTGCACACAAAGTTCGATTCATTATAACCTTCGACAAAACAAATTGTTGAAGCTCGCCAACATAAGCATCATCAAGGAAACAGAAAATTTAAGTTTGATATGTATAATCAAATGTGGGTTCGTGATAAAAAAAATTATTGCTTTGTTGCTGTGAGGGTGTAATTATTGAAAACCTTGGCCGTAGAACCTACATCGTGAAAACAGACACTGGAATGATATGGAAACGGCACGTTGGTCAGTTGACATGTGGATATCCGTAAAAAATTATAAAGAAAACTGTCAGCTAGAAAACCAAATTGAGAAATAAGTTTCAATCATTCCAAAATCTAGTATCTATGTAAATGTGAACTAACCAAATTTAGATGAAGTGACTTTGACTGCTTTGAGTGTCATATATGTTAAATCTTCAGAGAGTGATAGTGACCTGAAAGAGAACATGAACACGGAGCGGACGCTACGATGTCGTAGGGGAATTGAAAAACCAGAAAGACACGTATAGGATATTCACGTTGAATAAAGAATGGCGTCATTTTTGGTGATTTTGAATATCCGATATAACAACATTGAAATTTCCATGAAACGGTTGAATAGCAATGAAACTTGTGAAATTTCATTTTGTAAGTTGATCAACTGCTAGTGAAATTTCAGACGTTGTCGAATCGAAAAACACTCGAAAATTATCAGTCTTTCTTTTCTTATCAGAACTAATCATTCATTTTGATAAGAACTGCATATATTCAATAGCATTTTCGAAACAGTATATACAAATAGTATACTTCCAATAACTATGGTAGAGACGTAAGTTATATTAATTGTTTCATTTACCTATATACCTCTATAAGAACTACACAAAACATTATACAGCGAATATATAAATGTTGGGTTGGATTGAATATTTGTTGATTGTTGATGTCAGAGGGTTGCAGATGCCTTGAAGTTGAGTATTACAGTATTACAGTAGTATTACTTACTACTGTCAACCGTATTGCGACTAAATCTAATAGAGGTGATGTATTCAGCAATCCATCGAAACAGCGAAAACGATTGAAACCACTGGTAGATTTTCATGATTTCGATCAAACTCCCTTTCTAATGGGAGAATGATATGTACAAAACCAGTAAGGATTTTGTATTGATTTATTCAATATACAATATCTGACGACAACAATAATTCCAGAAAAACATATCAATTGGAAAACTTTGAAAGATGAACTGAAAGAACGTGATCTTTTCAAATGCTGTAAGACATCTTTATGAAAATTCTGAAGAAATTGGTTTCACATACAAAAAAGATGATCCACGCCGTGGTTTGATGGAGCTGCCTAGTATTGCTATGAAACGTATAAACTTCTTACATGATTACATAAAACTTAAGAAAGAGAGTTTACGCTTGTTTGTATTTTTGGATGAAACTTGGATATTCTGGTAAGGTTTCAACGTAAAAAGTGTCAAGAACACTGAAGTTGGTGGTGCAAGGTAAATACAACCATGAAATGAAAACAAAATACACTAGCTAATTTTTTTCATTTCAAGGTATATTGTAGTTCATATTTGATGCAGCACCGGGTTTATTCGTGGAGCAGACTTAATTTTCTGTTTAAAACCAAGAATTGTGATTATCACGGAGAAATGAACCAACAAAATTTTCTGCTTTCATTTGAATACCAACTATTATTAATTTTAGAACAGCCTTCAGTATAGTCATGGATGATGTGAGTTATCACAGCACTGTTATTAATGAAGCCCCAACAACAGCATCGAAGAAAGCTGATATCCAAGAATGTTTATCGAATAATAACATTTCCTTCGAAAATACTTTTCTCAAACCACAATTGGTGGATTTAGTTGCAAAGTAAATGAGATTATTATTTGAACTGAATAAAAACATTATACATTCACATTGCAGGAATAAACCACCACCTATATATGAAGCTGATACGCTTGTAGAAAAATATGGGCATCAAGTGCTTCGTTTTCCACCGTATCACTGCATGTTTGATCCCATCGAACATATCTGGGGATGAACAAAACATTTTTTATAGGGAGAATGTGAGAAGATATGGCACTTCAGCTGACAAATCCTGGGCTATATGAAAAGAATCTTTAGACAAAGCTAGACCTGATGTATGGGCTGCAACTATTCGACATACCGAACAGAACATAAAATTATATGGGGATAGAGAAGTTGGGTTTGGCAGGGCCTCTTATTATAAATTTCGATTCCGATGATGATTGTGACAATGATGACGAGTTATAATTGAAAAATATATTTAAATAAAATATTTCATTTTTCATTACTCATTATGAAAAAAAAGGTGAAGTGCCACTCTGATTGTATTTCAACTAAGTAAGTTAATAGTAAGTAAGGTTAATAGCAATAAAACAAATTAACAGTACAAACAAATTTGAAAGTTCGAAATAGTGCACATGTTGGCAACGCCGTAACTTATCATCTTTCGACGCCATTCTCTTCTTAACGTGAATACCTAATATTAGTTGATTCTATTGTTCCTATTTTTTTTTAAATATGTTGAAGAAAAGGTGTGATATACTAACTCAAAATCATTAATTTGGATTGTGCTGATTTTCACCGAAGCACAAATAACTAAGTGACTTCTTTGTTACATATCGTTTGGAATTTACCTGTTCTGGAGGCATCAGTAGTATTCAAATATACGTCGTTTATTAAACAATGTGTTTCATTCATCAACATCAAAAACTCAACATTATCGATAGACATTTTTTCCTGATACTTACTTGAGAATGAATGTACTTAGAGTACCTCCTGCTGTTGATCACCAGGATGAGCAACATATTCGCTCCCAACACTCCCACAGTTATGAACAAAACTATCACCGCTTGGAGAACATCTCCAGGGGTGAGGGCAGAGAAAAACGTGATGTGCAGATAACGGGGGTGAGAGCAACTGCTATTGGCTAACGTCGGTGCTACGAGAATTGTGGCTTTATGTTGCATTTTATGGGTTCTGAAAAAAAAAGAAAAATGTTATATTTTTCCAATTTGGTATTTGGATCAATACCTAATTTGCAAAAATGACACATTTGAATTTATTTCAAAGATGATGTTATTGTTGTACGGAAAATGCTATCACTGATGTGATTTCTATACAGACCAAATTGAAAGATGCAAGACCTGATCAGCGATTGTACAGAGAAAGCCAGGTTCATCAAGCTAGTCTATCGACTGACTTGAACTTCAGTTATCAAAGTCGAGGTCTGAACAATCGACCTCTTCGGAAGGGGACAATAGCAAGATTGTGAGACTCGAACCTTCCTCACGATAGACCGGAACCAACACTAACTAGGACTAGTGGAGGACAAACCTAGAGAAAATCTGGAAGGCAGATGAATGACGAATGGAGGCCTATAGTAAGCTGCAATGCACACTACCCCTTATCCAAAGAGCAGGTGTCACCTATGAAAAGGTCTACTACGATTCATTGAAACAGGCAATTTAGACATTTTCAAGGTTAACACTGAATCTATCTTGATAAACACAAGACATAACGATGTAATTGAATGTCATGTCATGAAATCTCACGGGACTGTATTATTTTCTAATGACTTTGGAGAAATAGAGTTGGGGAACTCCCAAGCAGCAAAAAAGTCGCTATATACGCTAAAAAGTGAAGAAGCGTCTTGTTGTATATGTTCATTTATATTTCACACTGTATAGGTCATATTTTACCGATGTGTGTAGACAGTGAAGTCTGTCATTCTGTTATCACTTTTGTCATATGCATTTTTGTAATAAGTATTACGTATTTCTTAACAAGAATTTACATATACAATACGTCTGATTTTCATTTTGAAAATAACGTGTTCATAATATGTTTGCAATTACAATGTTTGAGTATTGAGATGACATTTAGCCAAGCTTGTCAAAAAAACAGAATGTCAAAACGTTCATAACAGATATTTCACTTCAATACACTTATAATAAGTAACATGTAATGAGTTTTTGATATTACACGTTACAAAAACTAATGAGAATTATTAAAAAAAAAAGTGCAACTCATGCAGAAATTGAGAGACAAAGTTAACTCGATTCGAAAAGTCAAAACTACCACACCATTGGGATTACTATAAACAACTGAGGAATTATACTAATACAGCTATACAATACGAGAAAAGGGCATACTTAAACTACAAACTACGTAATACTGATAGTAAGAGTAGATGGGTGGAACTTAAAAAATTAAAAGTTGCGAAAAGTAAAAATAAAGAACTTCCTGAAAACTTGAAAAATGTAGAAGCTATTGGCGATTTCATTTCAACTATGTCTCGAAGAGATATCCCACTGGATGAAGACTTACTGCGCTTTTGTGGCACGAACAGAAAAGAAGTTATATGTGATCAACCCATTTTTTCACAAACTACTGAAGATGAAATCTTTAGCATCATAAATAGCATAAAATCGGAAGCATATGGGGTAGATGAAATCAATATAAGTATCATAAAAAAATGTTGTCTTTTCATTATAACGGTACTAACTCACATAACAAACGAATGCATAAGTCAAAGTTATTTTCCTGATGCATGGAAATGTGCAAAAATTATACCCCTACCAAATAATAATCAACCACAAAATTTTAATGATTCAAGGTATTCTCCCGACATGTTCCAAAATTATAGAGAAAGTAATGGAGAATCGAATACGCCATTTCATTAATCGTTACAATATTTTGCCACATAAACAAACAGCCAGGTTTTAGAAAAGGTTATATTTGTACAACAGCATTATTAGAGATCGTAGATGACATAATCAGAACTATAGATAAAAATGAAGCCACCGTTTTGATTATGTTGGATTATTCAAAAGCATTTGATATCATCAATCATAAAATACTTTGTGCTATATTACATTTTTTTGAGTTCAGTGATGGATCAGTGATGATGATATCATCTTATCTAGATGATATATTACAAAAAGTACAGATTCATGATGTTTCTTCTACTTGGAGAGAATTTAAAACAGGAGTACCCCAAGGCAGCATTTAAGGCCCACTCTTTCATATCCTCTATACTGCCACATTCATCAATGAGATGAAGTCTTGTAAATATCACCTTTATGCAGATGACTGTCAATTATATTCATCTTTCTATTCTTCAGATATAGGTCAAGCAGTAACCGATATAAAATTTGATTTAAATACGACCACTGACCATATGTTGAAAATCAATGCAAACAAATCAGTAGCTATTATTTTTGGAAGTGATAGCATCAGGGAAGAAGTAGAAAACTACAGCTTGAAAATGGGAAACTCTGAGATACAATTCAGACCGTATTGAAAAAATTTGGGGTTGTTTTTTGATCATAAACTAAGATTTCATGAACATATAACCTACAAACTTAAACTTGCTTATTCATCATTGAAACTCATATATCCCCATAGACAATATTTGGATGTTGATGTCAAGAAAATGCTATGTGATTCATTAGTTTTATCTCATTTCAACCACTGTGACGCTGTTTATCATTCATGTTCAGACAAGAACGACAAGTGTCGCATACAAAAAGTTCACAACTCTTGTATCAGGTTAATATTTGGTATCAGAAGAAGGTCCAGAATTTTACACAAATTAGCAGATTTGAAGTGGTTGAATATGTTAAATCGTAGACATTTTCATGCAACATGCATATTCTTTAAAATATTCAAATATAGGAATCCTTCCTACTTATATGAACATTTGTCTTATAGAACAGATATCCATAACCTGTGCATAAAAAGGAAATATTCAAACGATCTTTTTCCTATAATATATCCTCCACAATGAATTATCCTCATAAATGGGAAAACAATTGTTTTAACGTGTCAGAAACTGTTTTTGAAAGTAGATTTAAACAGTAACTGTTCAGAATTCAGAATAACTAGGTCCGCGGCGAGAATCCTGAAATAGGTTTTAGCTATTCATATATCTATATCTTCATATTACCTACTCTTTTCTTTCCTTTTTTTTCTTTTCTTTCTTCTTTTCTTCTCTTTAAGCCCTCATTTATTTACTTTCATACATTTTTGGCATTGGTGGAAGGGCAGAGGCGAATGCAAATTCGCGGTCTGAATCAAAAGCCATTTGAATACAGACTGTTTTTATTTTTCTCTCTCTTGTATTTTATTTTTTGTTATCATCTTGTATTTTGATGGGCAATAAACTTATTATTATTACATTGTGAGAATCTGTACTCATTTTTGGAGCTGTTGTCATCAAATTCTTGCGAAAATATTTTTCCGTTTCGAAGCTTCTCAATAACTTCTAGTAATAAGTGAAACATGTCTCTGATCTTGAGCTATCATAGTTCCAGAATAATTGATATTTTTCTGATCCTCAACCAAGATTTGTAAGTTTTTTTCGGCAGTCTTTTATTTTCATTTCGTATCTCACCCCCATTCACAAGTCCAAGAGAATTGAATACGATAATTCGATTGGCCGAGAAGAGGTGAATACAAATGTGGCAGAATAACGACCATTCGGCCAACTCAATCGAGAGATACGGTCAGATTTATAATTCACACCTTTCGATAACCCTGACCATATAAAACCCGAACCTTTATGCCGTTCATCCCCGGCTTTACGAAACTTTCCCGGAATAATCGGAGATTTTCTTCGAATACACATTCTGGTGATTTAAAGTAGGACTGAAATCCCTTTTTGACACGAAAGGCATTTGTATTATTTTTTCAATAAAAGACATAGTTTTTCAATAATTATCTTCTTCACCAATAAAATGGTGAATGGGTCAACAAAACACAGTTTCAAGCGATTATTTCCTTCAAACCGATAAAATGATGGAAACATCGAAGGCTCGTCTACTAAAACAGAGTTAAAGAGCAAGTGGGACGGTATCTTGGTAGGTAACCGTGAGTGGTTTGCTTCACCCACTCAATTCAAATTCAAATTTATTGCATCCATATCCTAGTAACAAGAAATAGATCGGATCAGTCCAAGTTCACAAATTAAATTGTGTCTGAATGAATATGTACAATTGAAATGACAAACATAAATAATGGTTTAAAAAAACAAAAAAGATTACATTCTTGAATGTTATAAAACATCGGGTCAAAAACCTAATTTGAATCGGGTATTTCAGTGATGCATACTTCACCGCCTGTGAAAAATCTCACAAAGATAAAGCAAAATATGAAGAAGCATGAGAAGGCCGGTACTGAAACTCACTAACCGCAAAAATGTTCGAATTCACGGAGGGAGTAAAATCATCCTTCAGCCAGTACTTTTTTTAATTTGCGTTTGAAGATATCTGGACGTCTGGTCTCTCTCTAAATTCGAGGGGCAGAATGTTGAATAGACGAATTCCAGTATTCACTGAAGCTTTTTTTTGCATGGAGTGACAAAGTTTCTTCAGTAAAATACATGTCAATATGTCATACATGTAAATATCACAATGCCTTCTGAAGCTGTTTAGGTTCTTGAGAATATGAATCAAAAGTTTTAATATATAAATAGAGGGCACCGTGAGAATTTGATTACCTTTGGAGGTGTCTCTGCATGATGTTCTATAAGATAAGTAGAAAATACGTCTAATAATACATTTTCGCAACACAAACACTCTTTGTAGTTCGGACGCTTGACCCCACACAACGATATTATATGAAATAACGGAGTAATCCCGGGGCATAGTAAACTTCAAGCAGACATTCTCGTTCCAGCATTTTTTGGAGTGTGGTGACCACATAAAAACATTCGTTCAGCTTGCCACAAACTACATCGACATGCGAGTTCCATGATAGGTTGCAGTCGAATTGTGTTCCTAAGAACTTCACTATTATAGATGGCTCAATTGACACCCCTTAGATGAGAGCGGTAAATGCAGAGGTGTTCTATGTTCGCTACAATACTCTATATATTCATTCTCATTATGATTAATCATAAGTTTATTTTTAAAGCACCAGTCCTTGAACTCTCCAAAATAGTAAGATCTTGTGATCTTGCAGGCCA